ACCAAATCCAAGGTGGTGACATTTTACGATCGCCTATATTTCAGCTCATATTTCAGCCCCACTATTTAAACCATTAAAGATTTTTCGGACGGGAAAGGTAAAAAATCAGCTGTAATCTGGATGAGCCGATTCTTACCTCATAAGAGCACACAAGGGAAAGTACAATAATACTCCTAATGTTTTATATTAGCCTGATCTTCAATAATCAAACATGATAAACATTAATATCAAAAGCATGAGTTATTTATTATCCTTGGTTTAAAAAAAAAAAAAAAAAAAAAAAAAAAAAAAAAAAAAAGACGACAGACATTTCTAGCAGCCGCGATTATACAGTTTTCCGATAATCTCATGTCTGAAATTCACTTTCGTGTTAGATAGTGTTTACCCAATGGAACTGTTACTCACCACTACTGACATTTGTATCTACTAGTCACTAGTGTTTACACGAGTCACGCACTAGGGTATGCTGACAAATTTTGATTTTTATATATCACTTGAATTCGGAAAATCATACGCTAAACTTATAATATTAAATATTTATTTCTACTTAACCATTAAGTGGAAAAACTCTTGTAACAAAAAATATCAGGCATTTTAATAATATTTCATTTCCATTTATAACGCTCAAAGGTGAGGTTTAAAAATTTAAGCAACATTTTACCTTACTTAAACGAGATGCGTAACCCAGTTCAAACCTTTCCGTCATTTTAAACAGAATAATCTCTTAAATATTCTTCTCCTCTTTCCTTTTTATACGCTTTTTTCTAAGAGAAAATCAGGATCATTCTAACCAAGTGCAATGGATTGAAGCTCTTCTTCTTCTTTGAGCTACTCTTAGAATATTGAAAAACGAGGACTTTGCGTTTTAAATAAATAAGCAAAGAGGGTTTGTTAAAAATATAAAAACATAAAATAGGAAAAAAAAATTCTACCTCTTGCCTTGCATACCCACTGCGAAAGAGAAGTGCATCAAATAGGCCTAAAAAGCAATTACTGGTTCCCAAATTAGCGAGGGCAGTGGACCGTATCTGGACTCACGGTCCGTAATAGCGAGCAAATTAAAACATTCCGCATAAAGTATTTCCTAAGCTTTTCAAAGCCATCTTCGGGTCAGACACACGTGGCAGAGAGACGGTGGGGAGGAGAGGAGGGACGAAAGGTAGAAAGGTAGAGGAAGGAATAAGGATGATATTTGAGAAGATTTTACCAGAGTAAACTTTTATGAAACTCCAAAACCGCTGCGGTAATTGTAGCAGTTGAGATGGCTTTTGAAACTGAAGTGGAGGGCGACTTTCAGTTCCACTTCTGAATGGATTTCCGCATTAAAATTTGAAACATTTTCATGGGGGCAGTTAATGTTCAGATGTTTCAAACAAAATATCAGAGAACTACACTGACTTATTAGAGAGGTCACGTACTCGGATATCTCATGCTACTGAGCGTAAAAATTGCTTCCTGACACTCTCCCTTTCAGATCTGGGGAGGAGGCTGGTTGGACAGTGAATAGAGTCGAAATCTATAAAAGAATGTTCTGGGTTTCGCCATAAAGTCGGCTGCGCTGATATTGCTTCAATTTAACTTCCTCATCTTGCCTTGCATACCCGTTAATTAAATAGCAAGTTTTGAAATACACATATCATTTCTCTCATTTCATTCTAGAAGCCTTCATTGAAATCAGAAAGAAGACGTCGAGAGTTAAGTATTTAATCTAATAATTTCAGTAACAACTTCCTGGTTTCCTATATTTCATTAATCGTGCTAAAGTAGATAAATTTCAATCAGCTTTAATGATTTCAGCTTAATTTAATGTAGATAAATTTGAATCAGTTTCTAATCGAGGAGAACTATATTATTCTTATTGTAATTCGGTATACGATTACTATAATTCCCAACTAATTAGACTAAGATGATAATAACAATTTTAACTGACTGAAAACATATTTTAGTTTTATTACCTAGTACACTTTTAAAGAAAATTATTGAAGGAATAGTAATTCTAATGACTATTTTCGTGTATTTAAGTATGCGAAACTAATCAGTCTATTTGAATTTGCTTGAACTGCAACCTAACAAATTAAGTGTAATTTTTACAACAGTTGTGGAGTTAGTCTAAAATCAACATTTAGTCTATTTGTATAATCAGATTTACTTCGAATGAATATCTTTAGTCTCTATTGTAAATAATTGTAAAAATCTCGGATGACAAAAAAGCATATTAAAAATGTATTTGCTACTGATTATTTCAGAAACTCTAGCTATTGATAATTTCAGATAGAAATTTAAATACACCGTTAAGTATTATATGTCGTTTTCCATATTATAATGATGAGCCTGAAATATTATCCTGTGGTTTGATTCGAGTCTTTTCAATTATCTCTTACTTCCTTTCTCAAATATCTCTTAATCTGACTAAACCATATTGCTTCGGATAAGTTCAGAACATTAAAAAAAATGTTTTAAGTATTTTAATATTCAATTAAATGAATGCTTTGGTAACCTCATAATTAGGTGGAAGACTAATATTGTTTCCAAAATTACAAGACACTTTGCTTAACACAGTCATTGAAATCCTAAATACACTTTCCAGTGCAATACGAGAAAAAAATCTTTTTAAAGTTTCAATACAAAATTTTACCAAATTACATATTTTCCATTTCTTATACATCTACGAAAATATTTACTGAAATCATTAAGAATTCATCATACTTGCATATATTAAAAACTACTAAGAACTTGTGTTTTCATGAAGTTTTGAACGAATGAAAGAGAAACTAAATTTTGAATATTATTCTTTACATTTTAGTTACTTTTTCTGTCATTAATGAAGAATATTTTGTTCAAATGAAGGTATGACTTCTATTGACAGCTTTTACCATTGCAATTTTTCGAATTTAAATTAAAGCTTATCATAGAAGAGATGCAAGATCTATTAATATTTTTTTTTTCATTTTGTCGCTAAGCATCAAAACGTAATACGCAAACCTTTACAACTGGTTTATAAATAATCATAAAAAGGTTGCCTCCCAATCTGTGATGCCCAAGATTACATTTTTAATTGCAAACTGTCAGCTATTGTACTGTCCACTACTGTCTAAGAGAATAAAATCGCTGAGCAACTTCAGTTTGATTGGGGTCGAATCTCGGCAAGCAGGTTGTCTGTACAGATGTCTTCATGGCAAGAAAAAGTTCAAAAAATAATAAATCTGTGATTTCAATAGTTTCTTCCTTAACTAACTGAAGGGTAAGTTAAGGTTTTATAAGTTCAGGTTAAGTATTATTTATTAATTTAGGCAAAGTATATGAGAGTTAGCTGCTTAATGGAAGGGATGCCTTCGCGAAAAATTTCTGAAAGTTATTGGCTCATATTCACGTTACACCTGGAGAAACCCTGAAAAACTCCCATATAACCAGCCAGTTCGCTGCGATTTCAACCTGCGTCGAAACGCCAGTGTTATCGCATACGATAAAGCGGTAGACTGTGTTTACATAATGACAAATAAAGAAGCGTGAAATCTGTTCTGGAAGCCGTTGTATTTTTTATGGAACGGAAGTGACTATTACATTGCTATAATGATGAAACTACTTTTTATTAATTGATTTCCCTCTTCATTAAATTCTAAGCACCATTAAATAGCAATGATTTAATGCTTGGTAAAATATCTTTATCACCTGAGCATTCTTTTGCTGTTTTCCTTTTGTGCTTTGTTATAAAGAAAAAAGTGAAGGCTGGCTTAGCAAAGATAGAGTGGCTAAAACCACCGAACGCTGGTACTTTATATTTCGTCAAAATTTCGCTTTTTGGCAAATAGACTTCTGCACGGAGCGTTTCTGGTTTTTCGTATGCAAAGTGAATACAAGCCGATTTTTATTATTCTTCATTTGCACAGCTAGCCCTCGTGTTCTTTCTTATAATAAATTGATCAACCATTGAAAAAAAATCTGTAATTTTTGTTGCTTACGAATTCTTAATATAATTTGAAAAATATCTAAAACTAGAACTCCCCCCTCGTGAAGTTCTATCTTGAATTTTCCATTTCAGTCAGTGGAAGATTCTGTTTCAGGAAAACAGAACTTCATTTTGTTTGGCTAACAAACTTATTCACAATCTTTTTTGTAATAATCTTGATTCTTTGTTTTCCGTATTGTTACATACTAATTACTTTTTAGTTAACACAATAATTTTATTTTTCATTAAAATACTTATATTTTAATATTTTAATTTATTTCAGTTTATCTTACTTTTTCTTTCTGTCTTTACGTTAATATAATTTTGGCTTTAAATAAAAATTTGAATTTATATGGATATGGCTTTATAGGCTGTACTCGTGATATTTTGCCGCAACTTTCACATTCTGATATATCAACAATCTTTTACTAATCATCTTTTTGCGTTAATTCTATTCTAGGATCTTGTAATTTCTATAGTCCTGTTTATCAAACCAGTTTAACCATTGCTGAATTCTTCTGCAAACATTTTCATTTCATTCCACTTAAAGCCCTCCTCAAGTTGAGCTATTCATGCAACTGAGTTACCTTTTGCTCTAGCGCTGATAATTATCGATTATAAATCTCTAAATTTTTATTAAAAGCCTCATTATGAATGAGCAACAATCTTTTTTTCCTTCATGGTTACAGAAAGCATGTCATTTTATAGCTCTAATTCTAGCTGCAAGTCGTTGATTTGGATTCAGAGAAAATTCAAGGCATAAAATTTTTGATAATTTGCATGTATTTGTAACACCAAACCGACGTCAAAACTATTAAACTTATTCCATTATGATGTGCATCTTGCAAGGCAGTTAAAAAAAAAAAGAACGCTGAACAAAATTTCAATGCAGGGTTAATTTCATTACATACTAACAATTAACTCCCATAGGACATTATTATTAGTAATTAAACTGGATATTCGAAATGTCGGTAGTAAACTGATACGGAAAATATAGAAATAATACCTATATTTAATACATATTAGCGCAGTAACAGATATTGACTTCTTTCAGGTGTGGTTCCAGAACAGGAGAGCGAAATGGCGGAAAACAGAGAAATGTTGGGGTAAAAGCACCATCATGGCAGAGTATGGACTTTACGGAGCAATGGTCAGGCATTCCTTACCACTTCCTGAATCAATCCTAAAAAGCGCCAAAGAAGGGGACGTTTCCTCTTGCGCACCTTGGCTGCTAGGTAACTATAGAACTCTATATCTCCAAGTTACGTATATATGACGAATGGTATACAAAATACTATCGGTTAGAAAACTTAATTCGTCGTGCAGAAAATCGAATGCGAATTCCAACAACTTATGCAACTCAATGCAACTCAGATGTATTAAGCTCTGCCGACGCACATATATTGTTCACCGAATCAAGATAAAAATCCAACATATTTTAAGCTTAGACCTTCCGTGTAGCATACAAGATACGTACATACTGTGAAAAACAAAATTCTGAAATATACGTACATACAAATGTCGTACATACTATATTACATATAATTGATTATTTGCGATGAAAACAGAATTCTCTATCTGAAAAATAGTTTTTGTAAATTAAAATCCCATATACTGGATGAATTCAAAGTTAATAGCAAAATAAATTGCACTTTTAGCGGGGAAAGGGGAAGCATAATAAAAAATAGTGTTCTTTTCAGGTTACTCAATAGCCTCTGAATTTTAATATTAAAACTATTATTTCTTAGTTTCTAATTATTCGGTTACTATGTACAGTATAAAAGCAGCAAGTTTATCGAAAAATTTGATTTAAAGATAATTGATCGTTTTTTTAATATCCAAATCTTCATTTCCTAAAATTAGCTTTATGAAACCATGTATTTTTAGAAATACCAAACTATCAAATGGTTAGACGATTTTTATATAATCCTGGTTAGGAAGAAAATCTATTTCCCGATTAGTTTCTATCTAACAAACAATGCTTGTTTAGAAAATGATTAATTTAATTTAATTCAGAGCAAATTTACCCATTGAAGAAAAAATTTTTACAATTTAACTTTATAATTAAAATATTATTTGATATGTTCAGTTTTTTCGAATATTTTCTAATTAATATTAAGATGCGTACTTTATACATTAAAACCGCCAGTAGGAAAACTATGATACATAATTAGGAAAAAAACTTACTTTTTTTTATCAGGATTAACACTTTGGTCTTGATTAACACTTAAAAGTTTTAAATATGTAGATACTTCAATATATAAAGTAAGATTTTTTTATTAAATGCTAACGTAAACAAATTTGTTGCAAATAAAGATTTAGTTAGAGATTTTGATGTTATTTACGATTAGAAATAAAACGTAGCTTGTTCTCAGTTTTCGCACCTGCACCTGGTATACTTTTTTTATGCTGGTTGCTGTATGTTGTATAACAAGTTAATTGAGTACATATTAGTTTTATTAGTGTCATTATTATTATTAATTATTATTATTATTGTTATTATTATCATTATTATTATTAGTTATTGTTATTGTTTTTATTATTAATTATGTTCGTTCAGTTTAGAATCACGGTGAGATTTTCAAAATTTATGTTTAAAATGTAGAACTGTGCACGAGGAAGGGCTTAAACATAATCTATAATTAACGTTTTAGCAGTTTAACATCAAGAAATATTATATTTGGAGCCAATATTAAAATTTAATTGCATAAGACACATTTAGCAGAAGAGGTACTTACTTTAAAACCGAAAGTTTATGTTAAAATTTGAGTTGTAACTTAAAAGCTGTGTATAAAAGAAAGACAGAAACTACCCCTTTGTTTGAAAGAAATAGCCACAGTTGTTTTATTTTGTTTAGGAAATAGAAGAATTTTATATGTTAGGTAATTCCGAAAATTCCTAAACTAGAATTTTCCCAGGTTACAAGAAATATCCTTTAACACTACTTTTTCCTTTTTTCGTTATTTATTTTTTATTGTCTTCTGTCTAGACTTTCTTTCTTTCGAAAACATTTTCTTCATCTTCTGTTGAAGTTCTATTACTGGTTTATTTATCTAGAAAAATACTTACTATTAAGATAAAGGCCTTTCACCATTTTGTAAATACTATCTACACCTATAGACAGGAAACTTTACGACAACTTCTGAATTGAATAGATTATTTGTTACTGCAAGGGAATAAATGGTTATTTGCCTTGAGAGGATATCTTTGTAAAAGAGAATCTAGGAAAAATGGACTTTCTTTCCATTCACGTATTCATGTAAAACTTGAAAGTCATGGATTCCCTACGCGATCGTAACTATTTCATTATATTAGTCACCAGGAATCGACACTGGGATGAACTAAAAATGTGATTAAAATAACTGAATACCAGTAGTGTATAGTGTTCGGTTCATCGTGATTGATTGGAACATCAGTTCAGTTGAAAAATCCAGAAATCTTCCTAGGAGTCAGTTTCCTTTAGAAGTAATAAGCCTGCTTTTCTTTGAAGTCCTTAACGAATATGTGCTTACCAAGGCGGAGATAATTTGAGGAGTTGCAAAAATTAATAAACAAGGTGCAATAATTTCTTCAGTCTTTTTTTGTAGAAATCCTGAAAGCAATCTTTGTTGTAATGGAACTCTAATAATTATGTAATATAATTATAGCTAATGGCATTGGGGTGAATACAGACATAAAAATCCAACATTAGTTATCTTAACTCTTTTATTTTATTTTGTCAAATTTAATAGCTTAAATGGGGGATTTCATCTCTTCTCAAAGGATATTAACTCTGATCACAGAGAATCTGTCTGCTTGTTGATCTATTTTTCTGCCTGTTTGTATGAAGAGAAAATTTCATATACTTTTCAGTTTTCTTATATCACGTGATCGGGATTAAATACCTTTTTTAAAAATTTCTGTATGTTCAGTATTACTAGCAAAGCAAGTAAACATGTAAGAATACATCGACTTAAAAATGAAGACAGCAGAACTTACTCGGAGAGCATAACGTGATTTTGTTTAAATATCTTCTTTGAAATGGATCATCATTATCTGTTAAATTTTTTTTAAAAAAAAAGTAATGAAGCAAATTTATTGTGCTAGTTAAGAATTATATTTTTAATCATTAGAATCAATATAGTTATGACTATTTTTAGTCATAGCATCTCAGGAAACTCTGGTGATTTTTTTTTTCTCTTTTTACTTGTCTTATCCTAACATTTTACTTAAAATATCTAACACTCTACTCAGAGCATATTGTATAAAGTAATACTGTATCAATCGATATTAAGTAGAAATACAATTTGCGTTTTAGATGTTACCATCAACTTTTATGTATATAAAAATGTATACATTGATTTTAATAATAATTCAAATATGTACTTATCTTAGCTGAGGTACTTCAGAAATTTTCGTACACTTTCTGTATGATCATTCACGTGTAAAAGTGATTAAAAAAAGTGACTCTATTCATTACCTTCTGCAAAGAAGAACAATAGAAGAAAATTTATTAGATTTAGTTTATATGTTTCAGACTATGGAAAAGTAGTATATGGAATTTTAAAAAAAATATTTTAGGATTTGTCATTAAAAGTTTGTTAATAATTCAGTGTGAGCACTAATAAGGTATGCAAAATATTAGTTAATTAGCATTGTTAGCTCTTTCAGGGGCAGAAAAAGGCAATTAACATTTTCAGCAACTCTTGTTTTATTTACTATATCAGGTGTTACAATGAAATTTTTTTGCGACAATTACACATATTTTGTCCAAGACGAGTGGAAAAAAAATGACCACTTCTGATGGTTAGTGTCAGTGAACACCGCCCACAGAACACATCCCTACAAATCAGTCTCTATTATACTCTTGGAAACAGCCTCTCTTTTTCAAGCAGAGTGCAACTTTGCATGTGCTGCATTCCCACGCTGTTCTTACAGGCTTTTACTTAGTGCTGCAGAGTGCACATCGTCGTGATGATGTCTTTGATAGTTGATGTTCATTTTCTTGAAGAATTGCTGCATCAACTACTGGCTTATGTTTCTTGATTGCCATCCATTGAGCTACAAGGGAACTTCAGAAAAGGTCAGTCTTGAAAACCACTCACATGAGTGAGTAAGACGTTCAATAGAAAAGGTGGTCACTGTAGGTAACCACCGACCTTCAAAGAGTTTACTTATAACATTAGCTTAATTTAATCTTCCATACGAAGAATTTAACCAGCTGTATTAATCCATGGAAATTAGTATAAACAGTCACTAGCACAGTTTAACACGAATAAGATAGCTTGACAGTTCTCCTGTAAGGTTATTTTGGCTGTTAGAATAAATCTGACAAAAGGTTGCTTATGCTGCCCGGGTCGACATACTGAAGCCAGAATGAGCCTGGTCAACATATTTCAGATGATACTGCTAATACTTTCAGTCGACGAATGCAACTGTTTTATTGAAGTCTGTTGCATGTGTCATGTAAAGTCTCTCAGAGGTGACTGAATCATGGACATAGTCCTTAAAGAATCGGTCTTTTACATAACTTTAAAGCAAACACATTTGTATTTGGATCCAATGAACTTGATGCACAGATGAAAGGCATAGAAAGATTGATCGGCATAATTTCAGAGAGTTATTGTCACAGCAGTAAGGCAATAACATTTGAGGTAGATAGACGCTTCATTTTGTATGAACATAGTAGTGTTAAGTTATCAGTGAAATTACTGTTCTGAAATATGTAATATTATTGCCTTTTCAATATATGATGATATCTGATAAGGTTACCGTGCAAGTAATTGTTCCATTTCACAGGAAAAAAATTCAATTAAAATGGACTGATTGGTAAGGCAACCTCATTCTACATATGCGGTTGCAGAAGCAGGTTTATATAGCACAAGGATTTTAGGCATCCAGGCACGATAGTTCCTCGTTCACTTTTTATTTCCTCGGCAATCCTATTTCGTATCCATCTGTTTCAAAAAGACTGCATTGCATCGTTCAAGGGCTGAAGAATTTAACCAACAGCTAATTCTACAAAGTTTAAAAGTGCAATTCTTGTGGCGTGGTCTCCAAATGGTTGTGCTTAGCAGTTTCAATTGTTCAGCTACAATACGTTTGAAATTAAAAGTCCTAATTTGATTCTTAGACGATGATTATTCCAATTTATTTCATAAACCTTCCTTTATTAGATATTTCTAGATGTTCTGGTGAGCGCTCAATACAATGACACTTGCTTTACTTTAGTAATTGTGTCATATGTCAAAAACAGTCAAAATCAATAGTGCACGTATAAGAGAGTTGTGGCACATTCATTTTGTACGATGTTTTCGTCATGAGAATTTTGGCACTTACGCCTCATATTTTTACTTGGCCGCTTTCGGGATTAATTTTTTTTATTCAAACAATATCGTCTTCATGGTCTGTACTCATTACATTTGATTTCGTTTTGTCTACCGGTTATCTCTGTAGAAGGTGTTATATAAAACAGTTTCAATTTGAATCCCTTGTACAATGTCCTAATTTATTTTTTCAATTAATAATTCTTAACATTCACATGATTAAGGAATTAATTTTTTATTAAGATAGTATAATTTTGAAATAATTTTGAGAATACAGAAAGAAAACCCGAAGTTTTAAAAAACTCTTTTTAATTTAAAATTTTGCGAATCCATTTAGAAATTAGATATTGATAGCTATTAGAAACTTTTTTTCTCTTTTAAAAAAAAATTACCTACTTCTTAAAATTAAATTTATTTACTCATTTTAAAACAAAAAAATTACTTACTCTCTATTTTTTTTAATATGTTAAAATTTCTAAGCACTACAAGTAAGAATACAGTAGTGGTCCAAACAGAATCTAAATTTGCAATATTAAGATCATTTATACTAATTCACAAAAGCGTGATCCTTTAGTATTTCATTCACATTTAAGGCTGTATGGTCTTTCTAAGATAAACACGTAACAAAACTGAGTTCTTTATATATGATCTTGGTAGTTAAAAGGAAAATAATTTATAAAGAAAACAAATATTAGAAAACATTTCATTTTTGTTCTTTTAAACTGTTTGCTTCAGTTTAATAGAACTGTTATATTTTATCAATATAGAACATTAATATAAACCAGTTCTATTGAAAAAGCTTGTGTACATGTTTTGAATTCTGTCCATGAAGCCGGAACTTTATTTATTTAATTATTTTATTTTATTTTATTTATTTATTTATTTATTTATTTATTTTTGTATAAATTTTTATGAAAAATAAAAATGCAACTTTTTTTTTAAAAAAAAGAATGATAGTTGTATTTAACTATTAAATTTTTCTAAGAATTAAATTTTAACTTGCATATAGAACTTTCTTTTCTACAAAACTTTAACGTAAAAGATTAATAAGATTCTTCTATATATATAAATAAACAAGTCCTAGTAAAATGAAACAAAGTAACTAATTGGGAATTTCCTGGTAATAACATTAAATGGTTAGGTGTGGCAACACAATATCCCCTAAATGTATGTACTACCATAAAAAATTGACGTATAAATAGAAAACATTGTATACCACTCTGGGTGAAAGAGAGGTGAAAATTACTGTTTTAGAATCTCCCTGGAAGCTAACCCCCTGGTCCTCATCTGTCGTCTAAACAGGGATGCACCGGAAGTCCCAGGAAGCAGCCGAGAAGCTCAAAGATTCCGATCTCAGCTCCGAGGAACATCACAGCCAACAACAACTGGCATTACCGCAGAGCAGCTCCAGCAATAACAACACCAGCACCACAGCAGCGATGACCGTCCAGCAGCCCTCCTTCCATCACCACCACCACCACCACCACTCCCACCAGCAGCGCCATCACCACCAAGGCTCATCTTCGTCTACATCTTCCTCCTCCAGGGGTTCAAGTCCAATCCTCGGGGGTCCTTCCACTTCCTCCGGATCCCACCACCAACAGCAACAGCCACCAAACAAAGAGGACTTGAGGTCGTCTAGCATCGCTTCCCTGAGAGCCAAGGCTATTGAACATTCAGCGAAGGTTTTTGGTGAAGGACGTGACGTGCCACCGAGTGATCCGTCTGCATCGCCTCGAGCCAAGGATGTAGTCCTTATGGAAAGACCTTCCATACATTCTATTGGATCACTATTCTAAAAGGAACAAATTTTTAAAAGATTAATATATAGAAGGTATCCAGAAACTGCTAACAACTTTCCTGTTCTGCTCAAAAAGTTGAAATATTCAATTTTAAAATACTTATTTTTCATTTCTTTCCATATCGTTCATTTTTTTTTAAATCAAACATAAAATTTCACTAAAATAGCATTCCAGATTTAGTAAGCTGTTGATAATTTCAGCGTGAATAAAATAACTTTTCATTAAACACATTACAGGGAAAAGTTATATTTATTACAATATTAGAAGTATTACTTCAAGAAAATTAGTGTAATAAAAATGGAAAATGGGAAAGAGGATAAGAAAATTCTTTAAAAGCACTCAATAAAAAATTAAATATGCAAAAATATGAATATATTTATGATAAATATAAAAAGTAAAATTACTCTATATATTCATATGCAAAACGTACAGTAATTTTAATTAATCTAATAGCAGAAATCTTTCAATAAAATTTCATTGAAAAACATGCTATATCATACCTTTACATAGCAGAAATTTTCGTTAAATTATAAAAGCATTATTTATTATTAAATTATTTATTATTATTTTCATCTTCAGGTTCATCTTTTCTATTATATAAAATTACCAAGTCATATATAAATTTTGCGTAACTAAGTAAACTCACAGATACAAACTTAAAAAATTAAAATGTTAAGGTTTTTTCTCTTCAGCATTCAATTTGTTTATGAACATCTCGAGAAAACTATTTTTTATTTAAAGATACTTAAATAACTTAATACGCTAAAAAAATTTCTATTGAATGAAATTTAATTTTTGCAGTTAATTATTACTATTTTTCGATGCTAATAATGGAAAAAACTCAAATAACTTCTTTAATTCATTTATTCACGTGGCAATTTTCACTTTGCGTGGGCAAATTTTCTCTTTCTAAACCTCATAATAATTCTCCTTAATTAGAGAAAAATGAACTCAGTAAGACAAAGCTATTAAAGCTTTGTTGATTTTCAAACCTAAAGATTTACATTAAATGTTCCATATTAAATGTGCAGAACAGAACTTTCATCATAGCTGTCCATCATAGCTATTATGCTTTATTCTTTGAATGGATGCCTGGCTCCTGGCGGAAATCTTAAACTTGACAAACTTCTTTTCATAATTTGACTAAAATTAAAAAGAAGTGCACAACTTTTCCTACCTCTTGCTTACTTTGACGTTTGGGGAATCATATTCCTAATTTGCATTGCGAAAAATTTCCTGATAAATATTTATATAAAATGTTCTTTTCGACATGAAAAAAATACATAATGTACTTCTTTACTTGTTTACTATTCCTAGAAGATTATTCTCTGTAAAACTAATTACAGGCAATAAATTGCTTGTATATGTGGTACTAAAGTATGTAATACCACTTTGATACTTTAAACAAAAATCTATTTAATGGAAAATCCTGTTATGAGAAGATGGCATTGCAATGTTCTTTATATTGTACATGAACGGCGGCTAACCTTGAAAGACATTTTTAAGAAAATTTTCAGAAGTATTTCTAAAGAGAACTCCATGTGTAATTTCGTTGGAAACGAAAGAGTGTTTACAAACCGGTGACACATTACAATAATTAATGTTTCCTAAAAAGTAATTTATTTTGTATCACTCGTTGACAAAGATTATACAGAATGATTCACAAAGAACCGTACCAAATATTTTGGTATAGATCAGTAACTAAATGTATAGACATTGCCACTAATTTTTGGAAATTAACCTTATGTCGCTTCGAATACTTATGTAAAGTATCATAAGCTGCAAGTGACGTCTATTTTGCGCTATCACATGCTGAAGTAACGTTGCATTTTTTAGCAATTCTTAATGATTTCCTAAAATGTAACAATTAAACCATATTGAATTGAAGCAAGAGTTCCTTTCCGCAAGACACAGCTACATACCGAGTATCTACAATGTTGATGTCAATGCTTTTAAGACCGCGTGATTGCAGAGAATCTTTAGCCGTTTACTCCAAAATCAGACCATATCGTATTTCTCTCTGCATGGCTGCTGCAAGAAGCCTTTCGTAGCAGGAAAGCACTCGAAGACAGAGTAAAGTATACTGCCTCTGAGACCAGAAACATTGATCACATTTCTACAGGTGCTTTACTACCCGATTTTCAAAACCACGCAACGCACCGTTAACGTACCCAACGTAAAGGACGGAGGTTTAATACATAATGCTGCGCAAATGCGTGAAAACATTGTTAAGTTTCTTTGCATTCTCAACAGTGGTTATCTATTCATTTCTGTTTTGTATATTTAGGTAAAAAAGAGGGTGAAGAAATACTCGGTTCTATGTGAATCATTCCACATAATGGCATTAGCAACTTCTTTTCAATACAGTTTAAAAAAAAAAAACTACTATTACAGATATAAATAAAAAGATAATTCCAAAGCTATAATTTGATCACATAAATAATAGATAATAAAATACACTTGTCAATCTTAAATTCAAACTTATCTTTCTAACCAAATTGTTCAGACTGAAAAGAGTTTTAAAGACAAATAATATCACTTTCTCGAGATGTGAAATCTTTTTTTGTATAATAAGCCATGAGAATTATTTTTGACAAATATAAGTGTTTAAAATTAAGCAATTTTTCAGGGAAATTTCGTTGCATTGGAAAAAAAATTTTATATTACATTTTTATTCTTTCATTTATTCAAATAGGAAATGAATGAAGCCATATGTTAAAAATGGAAAAGCTGAAGTTAGGAAGTCTTTTAACAACACATTCATTTAAGTGTAATTATTTATTAAGTTTTTCATATAAGAGTATGCGGTTTACTGCAATATTCATTTGCTTTTAAACTAAATAATTTAGAAAATTAAAGCTTAAAAGGATTTCCTTTTTCTCTCAATTTTACTTATATATATTATTACTGGTAGATATTAAATCTGGTTATTACTGGTAGATATTAAATATTATTACTGGTAGATATTAAATCCACCAAAATTAGTTCCATGAAACAATAAAAGATTTTAATTTATATAAGATGAAAATTTTCAAACCAAATTACCTGTAAACTGATAATGCTGATTTACATAAATATTATTAAATTGCATAATAAGATATTTTTTCTACAGTGATACTAGCAAAAATATCATAATACGTTAGCTAATACAAAAATATTTAAGAAATAACATTTCATAAGCCTGATTTTTTTATACCTTAAACAAAATTTAAATTATAAAAAAAAATGAATTAAAGTTTTGCACAGTGCACAACTAATCTATAATTAATTTGCTTGATTATATATAAGAATCTAAATATTCTAATAATTATTCAAATAATTAACGCTCCAATGTATACAAACAAATAAATTATAACTAAAAGTGAATGCCTAATTTACTTTTAGTTGTATTGAAATATAATTTATGTACATAAATTTTTAGATTATTTTAATTACCATATTGGCCCAAATGTAACTCAGATTTTTTTCATAAAATAACCTGCATATTTTATGATGTTCATGAGGTAGAAAGAGGTTGTATATAAGGTGGCCTCAGTTAATTGAACTTTGATAAATTAAAAGTGTTCAACAGTAATCTAAACATCATACTTTAAGGAAGAACTAAGTAACCAACTTTTCGTTCAACTAAAAGTTAAACATAAATGATAAACTAGATTAATATAGTACCTAAATATGCGGCTGTGCATAAAAAACATACAGTTATCCAGGAGGGAATTTTTGAAAGAATATTTGGGCCAGTAAAGTATTTTCATGTTTTAAAAACGATGCCAGTGTGAAATTGTACTTCGAAGAAACAAGAAACTATTTCTCTATTGATTGGAACAATGGGAAGTATTTCTCATCAACACAGGTAGTGATGACTGTAATTTAGGAATAAGTGATTACTAAATCAGCAGTGATTCTGCATCAAACCATAAACAATCGCTCGTCTATTTAAAAAGGCCTTTTGATATCAAGACCAGATGCGAATTCTTCTTCATAGACTGTACTGTATATTTACATTCACTACTATCGTGTATAATCAAATTTCTTGTAGCTTAACAACATTATAAACTCTGACAGCTTACAAGAAAAAAATCCAGGCTCTTGAGACGAGAAATCGAAGATAATTGTTCCTGCGGAAGAAGAAAAAATATGTATACATTTTCCTAGTGTTCGTTTTTGTGTCAAAAAATAAAGTTGTTCAAAAGACCAATGTTGTACATTATTCTATGTCATTGATTACTTAGTTAAAGTAATTTGTCATTTCATTCTTCCCATTATGCATCAATAAACAAATACACAAATAATGAAACAACGGTGTGACAAAAAATGAAGATAACAGTGTTCTGTAAACGCTGAATCTGGGAAAATGCTAATTACAGAAGCTGTACTTATATTTAAAGGCTTGTAAGATATCTTCTTTCTCATTACCGCGTTCCATCGGATTATAATACGAAGCACGCCTGGCTAGCAATCGGGAAGCCCAGATCTCGAATCTCTGCTAGAGCAATGAACATTTTTCACGTCTCCGACTCCGTAATAAAATGCCTAATATATCTATAGACTATGTTAAAAGAACAAACAGATTATCAAAACTATGCACATTTATTGACAACATGTGATTCATAAAATAAAAGTGATAAAGAAACTTAGCACCTTACATTATTTCGTATGAGATTCGCAGATTAAAGAACTAAGATCATCTTTTTTACTTCCTTCTTCTCTGAAAACATGTCGTTCCCGGTTGCCTTTTCTTGCTGCTTCAGAAGTTGCTTCAGTTCTTCTATGATGAGCTCCTTTTTATGGTCATTAGCAACTCCAGTACATCTTCATTGCTAACTTCCATGGCCGTGGTTTTTTCTAGAACTACATTACCACAGATAACAGTAAAATCCTAAGTGGCAAAGCTCTCAAAGTCTCTACCTGCAAAATAATTTCGCCATAATTTCCTCCAGGCCGAATTTATGGTCATGAAAGTCACTTGTTAATAAAACTTGGCATGCCAAATTTTTTAATGAAAATTAAACTATAAATAAATATTAAAATGATGTTCTCAGAAGTCCCAGAATTTTCATTCTGTGTCGTAGGTCTCCATAAAACACATGTAGAAATCATTTGTTGTTGATTTCGGCGCTCATGAATGGAGACACTGTTCATCATTCGAGATGCTTTTTGCTCAGATAATTTGTCGAGAACTGTTCTATGACAAGTGTTCGAGATCTGAGGCTCCAAAATATATCTAACTTGATTCAATTAGTTTCTTCTGTCTCTAAGCTAGTGTTCTTTAACTGTAACGAAATGCTTAGAAACACAGTAATTATTTTTGAAATCTGGA